AGCCACCCTGAAAAAAAAAAAGGAAATCTTAAACAGAGTTTAAGATTTTCATAAAAATAACTAAAGGGTAACAAACTTTTGCCAGTTAAACAGCAAATACCCACTGTGGTCATCAACTAATGGCACAGAAATTTCAGAAAGTCAGAAAGCACATATCAGAGAAGAATTTTTAAATATTAGTGTCTTTTATGCTATTAAATTATAAATCTTCCTGAAGGTCTATAAAGCAGTGAAATTCTCAAACTTGTTATTCACCTATAAAAATCACAGTCTACAGGAGCGCCTGGGTGGCTCAGTCAGTTAAGCATTCCACTTCAGCTCAGGTCATGATCTCACAGCTCGGGAGTTCAAGCCCCACTTAGGACTCTGTGCCGACAGCTCAGAGCCTGCAGCCTGCTTTGGATTCTGTGTCTCCCTCTCTGTCTCTCTCTCTCTGCTCCTCCCCGGCTCGCGGTCTGTCTCTGTCTCTTAGAAATAAATAAATGTTAAAAAAAATTTTAAATGACAGTCTACATAAAGCAGTTTTATCTATGCCTCATCATAAATTAGTAAACATTTGTGGCTTTGCAGTATTTTAACAAAACTATTAGTTCACACTTACGGAGTGTTTTCTACATGCCAGGCATGATGCTGAGTCCTTTACAGACTTCAGATCATTTCATTCTTATCATAATTCTGTCAGATCAGTAAAATTAGTCCCATTTTGCAAATGAGCAATTAAGAGAGATTAAGTCCCTGCCCAAAGCAACACTTCTCACAACCTATAAATATAGAGCCACTATTTAAACACAAACCTGTTTGATTTCAGCATTTATAAGATTTTATTTCTGACTCTCCCCTAAAAGTGTATTTTTCTCACAAAGACTGACTCCTCTCCTGCAAGAAACATAGACTAACAATGGTCCAAAGAGGGCATGGTATGAGCTATAGAAATGTGCACCCTGAAAATGACAAGCAGAGAGTAGGGGGGATTAAGTATTCTGCAAAACAGCCTCAAGCCATTAAGCATAAAAGTGAACAACAGAGAACTAAGGGCAAAGGAGAGAGTATCTTGATAGCAGCAAAAACAAACAAAATTACTCCTTTTATACAGAAGCCTGAACCTCTCCCAGATGTATGAAGAGATACTGCAAGTACCAGTGGCATGGATGGGCGTCTTCTGCATTAATCTTCTCAGCCAGAGCCCTCAATGTATTTGCAAAACACAAATTGGACATCAGTTCATCTGTTGAGCAATCCTCAAACTGGTCACAGCTTCGTACTTCCCCTGGCTGTAAACACTTCTCCATTCTTCTCCAATCCCCAAAGTCCCCTTCCATCACTCAGACTAGAGGTAATTCAACATTTCCTGGAGTGTCAAAAGTCAAGTTTCGTCCTCTCATCACTGTTCCTCTCTACCCCATGCCCCCCAGAACACCCCTCACTCTCCCCCCTTACACTCATCTTCATGTTCACTCCTAATGTAACCAACTCTTTCAGATCCCTCAGATGCCCTCAGCTGAAATACTACAAGAGCTAAACTAATTTCCCTGTTTCTGGTTTCTCCCACAACCAATCCATTCAGAAACCTCTTCCAGACTAATCTTCCTAACCTACTTATTTTGCTATGTTACACTCTCCTCAAGTTCCTCTCAAGGACCAACTCTTTAACAAGGCCATTAATGTTACCAAAACCCAGCCCCATTCACATTTACAGTTTCATCTCCTACTTCCCTCTACAAAATTCTGCACTGGACCTCCCACCACAAAAAAATCAAAATTCCTGAAATGTAATTTTGAGGTCCCACTGGCTCCTCCACCAACTAAAGAAGGAAAATACACTCGAGGAGCAGGTAATAAACCAATACCTATGACGAACCAACAAGTCTATGTAGAAGAACCAAAGGATAATGAATTGATATTATTTCTTTAGATTCAATAACACCCTGATTTCAAATTATAATGATACTGAGGGGGAGAAACTGTTATGATAAATTATTTTTTAAGTTTATTTTGAGAGAGAGAGAGAGAGAGAGAGAGAGAGAGAGAGACAGCGCGCACGCGCACAAGTCGGGTAGGAGCAGAGAGAAGCAGAATCAGAATCCCAAGCAGGGTCCGCACCATCAGTGCAGAGCCAGATGTGGGGTTTTAACTCGTGAACCGTGAGATCATGACCTGAGCCGAGATTAAGAGTCAGAGGCTTAACCGACTGCGCCGCAAGTATTTTCAAAAGAGTTAAAATAAAATAGGTGGGTAGGATTTGGGTCAGCATTCCAAACAGAAAGAATATAGTTTAATTGCTAACAGCACATAATTTTGAATCAGACAAACTTGCCTTCAAATCTTAGCTCTGCCTCTGATAAACAGTGTGATCTCAAGCAAGTTTCTTAAGCCTCAATTTGGAGGATGATTACTATCTCCTAGCAGTACTAGGTGAATTTGAAGATAAAATGAATTATGTACCTAAGGCACACTTTATACTGCCCAATACATATTAAGAGCTAAATAAAGAGCTTTTTAATTATTATTATTACTGAAGCATATCTCAGATCCAGTGAAAAGGCTATTTAGCAAGAAGCAGACAGTATATGACAATAGTAAGCAGTAAGAATGAGAAATATACACAGAGTACCTCAACCATCTGTAGTATTCAGAATACTCACCAAAAAGCATATAACAAAACCACTCTTCAAGGTCCTTGGCTAGATTCCTACATAAAGTTTGGCTCCTTTGGATATAAAGTGGTTAAACAAAATGGTATCTAAAGCTCCTTTCAGATCTAACCTTCAAAAAAGTGTGTAACTGCTGTGAATTGGAATTCTGGATGTTCATCACCATTACCTGGTTAACTGCTTTTGAAGTGTGCAAGGGCTTACTAATGTTCCACTAACCTCAAACTTGGGGAACAAAGCAACATTTAAACCCCAAGTAAAAAATTCCTAACCACCAGCCAGTCACAAAGAGGGACAGCAACAGTTGCTCTCACTGAACAACTTACTGCAGCTGAACTCGACAAATACATGACTGCCTTCATGTGAACCCACGGTGAGGAGTCTTCAGGTCTCCTAGGAATCTCAGGGGCAGTTTAAGAGGGAGAAAATAAAAAACAAAACAAGATGTGACCTGAACAGGAGGTCTGTTCTTGGGTCAGTGGACAAGAAAGAATCAAGAAGACCAAAAGAACAGTATTTCAAAATGCTAAACTGAGTCAGGAAGGCTCTAATCTAACTATACATTACTTGGGAACAAACCCAATTATATGTCATATGTCCAGATCATGTCTTCACTATCGGGACTTCGGCATACTTAAGATATTTATAAATCTAGTCTTTCTCTAAAGAGCTAAATCAAATTAAGAGAGCATACCCCTCTTTTTATGTGGAAAATAGTCAAGAGCTGCATTATTGAATTAATATTAACATGCCCATTTACTGATTTTTTTCAGTGTAATTTCCTAGTCTTACCCAAAGATTTTCACATGCAGAAAGCTATCCTTCCACATATCAAAATCACCTTTCTATATACTTATTTCTGAATAAACTTCTCTAAACAAATATTTTTCTGTATACTTATTTCTGGATGAATTGCTTTAAACAATATTTTTATCAGCTTTCATTTTTATAAATTATGAGAACTGTAAGAATCATATCTGTGAACTTATGAATAAGCTCATACTAATATCATTTTATAATTTTAAGTGATGAGATCGTTTTATCCCACTGTTCTGCAGACAAAAAAAATAAATAAATGAATCTGCTGAGCAGAGTTCCAGAAAAGTGCCGATTTCTATAAAAGTTAAAATTGGGGGGCGCCTGGGTGGCTCAGTCGGTTAAGCGTCTGACTTCAGCTCAGGTCATGATCTCGCGGTCTGTGAGTTCGAGCCCCACGTCGGGCTCTGTGCTGACAGCTCAGAGCCTGGAGCCTGTTTCGGATTCTGTGTCTCCCTCTTTCTCTGACCCTCCCCTGTTCATGCTCTCTCTCTGTCTCAAAAATAAATAAACGTTAAAAAAAAATAAAAATAAATTGGTATTTAACCATGTATTATATAATCCATTTCAAAATGATAAATCTATAATATAAATTTTAAAAAATTTCTATTTACATAGGTCATGTCAAAATAATGCATAATTTTGGTCAGACTAAATACTTAAGGAACTATAAAAGACTGTAATTTAAAATAAAAATGGAATAGGGGCACCTGAGTGGCTCAGTTGGTTAAGTGTCCGACTTCAGCTCAAGTCATGATCTCACAGTTTGTGAGTTCCAGCCCCAAGTCAGGCTCTGTGTGGACAGCTCAGAGCCTGGAGCCTGCTTCAGATTCTGTGTTTTCTTCTCTCTCTGTCCCTCCCCCCACTCATGCTCTCTCTCTCTCTCTCTCTCTCTCTCTCTCTCTCTCAAAAATAAACATTAAAAAAAATTTTTAAGTACAAATGAATTAAATTCATTCTGAATTCTCTCATTTTCTTTTAAGAGTCATTTTTATTAAGAAAGATAAGAATTATGTAAAAGTAAAAAATAAGAATTTAACTTATATACGTAAATGATTCAGACATTACTATAACAAGCAGAGACTAAATAACGGATTTATACCTGTTACTACTTACTTCAAGTAGACAGAAATAATAGAAGGGTATTCAACAAAGTATGGTATTGTCAGGTTTTTTTTAACGGAAAAAAATTTTAAATGTTTCCAAATATATTCCATAGAGAAATCAAAACAGTGTAAAAATATGTTGAAATTATAAACATTCAGCTCCTATTAGTTTTAATACAAGGGCTTCTTCATCACCCATCTACTTGGTAACTTTAAAAGATTTTCCAAACCAATTTGACAATAAATTTCATAAAAAAAAAAAAAAAGATTTCCATATACATTCTGAACACATGGCTTCTTTTTCTTACAGTTGGTCAAGAGAAAATACTTATAGTAATTCATATGCTAGAGTAGTTGTTGCATTAACAGTAGTAATAATCATAGTACTCCAATTTTAAACGGTTTTAAACAATTATGTGGTTCCAACCTGGTCGCCAAAGTCCTCTGGGAATTTCCACAATACCACCGGATCTGTAAATAATTGACACACATCATTAAACAGAGGCCAGAGAACACATTTACACCAACATTCTTATAAAACTATCTTAAAATTGTCAAAGCTACTTTTAAAATGATTTTTTAATTTTTCTTTACATATTACAGTTGATGAGGTTAAAAATAAAGTATTTTGATCTTTAAATGACCTTTAGGAACAGGAACAAATAAAATTGGTAACTTAGATTATTAAAAACCATTTCCATAACTCACTTTTTTATTTATATACTTTAAAGATTCTGAAATATGAATTTTCAGATTTAACTACACTGAACACATTACCTTTAATTTGAAAACAAAAATATAAATGTGTTAAATATGTAATCAAATATATTATAGTTCTTAGAAATTAGACCAAGATATATCACCTTAAATTTCCATTTAAAATCCTAAATATTTAAGAACACCTATTAATGCATGCTTTATATCAAAATTCACTTTTAAGATTCCATATTTGCAACTCTATAAAGCCTTTTTTAAAATAATAGATATAAATTGGTAGGTATCAAGCTTACTTAAAATATAATTGATATCTGCAGGGCTTTTAGAGAAGTTTTTCCAATATATTTTATATACTTATTCATATATAAAAACCAATGTTATTTGATAAATATTCCCACTGGCTTTTCATTTTCATTGTTTCTCTCAATATTTCTTTTCTACTTAGTATATTAAAAATAAGCCCTTTTAATTAGCACTAATAAACATTTTGGTCATGGGCTTTTTAATTCTGTCAAAAAAAAAAAAAACTTCTGAATACCTATAGATGTGCTTTCCAAGGACAGTGTACAATGGATAATATTACTTCTGAAAACGCCTTTGAAAGCTCAAGATAATGTAAATAACATGTACCACTGACACAACAGGATTTGAACTTCACTCCAAGCAAAAAGACTCAGTAGACCAAAGATATCACTTTATGCTCTCAGAGTAAAAAATTACAGTTCTATTCCATTTTTTCCACTATTTCATGTTGCTTTTATAAAAATATAGTCCAAATTTCTATATTATATAGAATTTCTATATATTTCTATATATTATAGAATATATAATTTCAAGATTTTAATGCTAAAACTCAATAATTACCTAGCAATATTTTTAGCATGAGCTACCTCCTCTTGCTGTATTACTTACTAAGTTCAAAAGAATGTTTTTCAATTGTTTTAAATTAAAAAGAAAGCATACTTTCTATAATTAACCTTTTACTTACTAAAGAATAAAAGGTTTCTACATAAGTCAATATAAATAAGAAATCATTTAAAATCATCAAGATTTAATCATCTTATATAAAAATAATGCATTATAAATTCACAAAGGTAATATTAAATGATCATGCCTTCATGTAAAACAAAGTGTATACATTTCTAAAATGAATGTGACATGCATTATAGGACACCTACAAATACTCAAGACATGGAAGATTATGTTGGAAAATACTTAGGTGTAAGTGTTACATTGGAAAATATACACGTGTGAGTTAGTTTTACCAAAATGGTAGTTATTAAGATTTGAATCTCATAAAATGAAAGTTATATGATGGAATCTTCATGAAATATAAAGTTATTACTTTGATAAATGTAATACACTAATGGCCATATAAGCAAATCAATTATACAGAAATGTAAAATAGTTCTTTCTTATAATTAACAGAGTTAAAGAGTTTCAATGTGAGTATTTACAATATCCCTTTGAACAATCTCAATTTTATAGCTGTCATTTATGAAAATGTGTTTGATAAATTTTTTACATTTATGTCTTAAAACTAGAACATTTATCTTGTACAGATAATGGTTTGCCCCTGTTCACAGCATTTACCCAAGTATATTTTACTAACTCCCTTTTTCTCATCCCCCATTATACTGCTTTCTTTCTGTATCATCTGTTCTTTCACAGAGAGAATGAACAAGTGAATTCATGAAAACAGCATCTACTTGTTTATTAATTTGAAAATATCCTCTTTTCATTAAATGAAATTTACACATCAGCACTCAAAAATTTATTGTAACATAAATCCACATTTTGAAATGGATTAACTTAGATACTGCCTGTGTTGTTAGATTTATGCCATATCTGACACATCTCAGTAACAACTTTTCACGAGTACTGCAAAGGAAGAAAAAAAATGGCTCTGATAAAAACTATTATAACCTATCTTAAATTTATGCACAAAGACTGAAATTTTCTATTCCCTGAGGATTACTTTCCAGATACCAGACCCGATCTGGCAATGTTAGGTCAATTTTATGCTTATTTTATGGGTGAAAGGATGAGAACTGCTGGCAGAAATCACCACTGCTGGTGAGAACCGATACACACTGTGCTGTTCTCCTTACCCACGTCTGCCAGCAATTCAAGGGAGACTCTGTACCTTAACGTGAAAACCACCTTTGCTACCTACAATCTAGAAAACAAATAAATATGAAAGGAAGAATACTTGATTTGTACATAAATGTAGTTAATCTTTTAATTTATTTATTTATTTTTGAGAGAGAGAGAGAGAGAGAGAGAGAGAGAGAGAGAGAGAGTGTGTGTGTGTGTGTGTGTGTGTGTGTGTGTGTGTGAGCAGGGGAAGGGCAAAGAGAAAGGGAGGAAAGAGAACACCAAGCAGACTCTGCTCATGCCCAAAGCCGGACATGGGGATTGAACTCACGGACCATGAGATCATGACCTGAACCAAAATCAAGAGTAAGACACTTAACCAACTGAACTACCCAGGTGCCCCAACATTTTATTTTAATAAGAGATTTTACACTGTAGTAAGGAAAATATAACACTTGTATGAAATCCGTAAATTTGGAATAAGAGTATTTAAAATATTATTTGTGCAAAACCATCACAGATATTCCAAATCCATGACTAAGGCTTTTTTTAAATGTAGGGTAAGGGGCACCTGGGTGGCTCAGTCAGTTAAGCATCTGACTTTGACTCAAGTCATGATCTTACAGTTTGTAGGTTCGAGCCCTGTGTTGGACTCTGTAGCAACAGCTCAGAGCTTGGAGCCTGCTTCGGATTCTGTCTTCCTCTCTCTCTCTCTCTCTCTCTCTCTCTGCCCCTCCCCTGCTTACATTCTGTCTCTCTTCAAAACTAAATAAACACTAAATAACAATTTTGTTTTTTTAATGTAAGGTGAGATAAATTCAGCAATTTTTTTTTTCCTTTTTAATCAGGTCTTTCACATTTTCTGGTCCCTAACTGAAAACAATAACTAAAATAATTTAAAATACCAGGGTAATAAAACTATGAAATTAAAACATGCAAAGAAAACTTTTTAATTTGCATAAATGAATAGCATTTACATAATTTTGTGGCATTCAGAGATGAGTATCTTTAAAAATATGTATTTATAAAATCACAGTTCAGAGACCAAATACTTTTGAAAGGTAGAATATATAATATTAGTAAGTAACTTGATGGAGTATAGCTTTCAGTGTTTGACTAACCTACCTTGCAGAATCAGAATTTTATGAATGAGGAAACTGAGGCCAAAAAAAGGAGTCATAGTTATAAGGCTAGTCAATGTGAGAGACTAGAACCTTCTTAGTTGAGATGTAAAGAGCAGCGATTTTAAGTAATTTCTAGAATCAATACATTTCTCTGTCCCGTTTAAGTTCAATTTATTCCATTCAAAAATCTATGCAGTGCTAAAGAAAGAGGAAAAGTCCCTGCCCTCCAAAGTCCTATAGCACACCTGGAACTCTCCAGTTTTTGTGCAAACTATTGTTTTAAACAAGGTATCCTGTAGAAACATTTGGACTGAACTTGAAAATTCACTGGCTTAATAATTGAAAAAAAAATTCTTAATGAAGAAATGGTGATGTCTCTTGAATGTAAATGAGCAAGACTCATTAAAGAAAATATGTAATTTTATTCTTCCACTGATAAAGATATAATGGTGAACTAAACAAAATCGGGTCACTACAACTTATAGAAAATAAAGCATCTAATATATATAATGCAATAAAATTTAATGAGTATTATACTAAAAGGACAGGATACTACAGGACAACATATGGAAATCTAATCTAATTTAGAGTCGCTAAGCTACTTAGGAAGGAAAGTACATGTAAATCAATGTCAAGCAAGTAAAGGATGATTTGGGTTCTAAAGTGGGCAGGGACAACATTTCAGACTGGAGAAACAATATGCAGGAAGTCTTGGAAGTTAAGAGAAAGAACAATGCACTCTAGAAACTGGAACAAAAAATAAGTTAACTATCTAGAATGCAGAGTGGAAGGAAGAGAATGTCAAGGGATGAAGCTGGAGAGGTTAGGGCCAGACTACAGAGTTTACAATGTATGCTGGGTATCATGGAAAGCCATTAAAGTAGATGATGACATAAACCAAAATCAGAAGTAGCAACTAGACATAAATAAAGAATACAGCAAGAGTGTGTGCTGTTATGAAAATCAAGGGAAGAAGTTATATCTAAAAAATTCTCAAACAAATGTGGCAAAACAGTAAGCAAGGTGACAACTAAAAAATGGTAACTATATGTAAAGCATAAAGCCATAATAAAATGAGATTCAATGGAAGGATAGGAAGGAGAAGGCAGATTCAGGAAGATTATGCAGTGAGTATGAATAAGGAAGACAGTGTATGGAGACAACTTATTTAACAAAGACTGTACAAGGAAGATGAAAGTAACAGTAGGAGGAGAGAGAGCGAGATGAAGCTAGATAGATTTGTCTCGTTGTTTTCTTTTAGAATGGTGCAGACTTGAACATGTTTAAATGATAATAGGAATTAATGAGCCAGCAGAGAGCCAAAAAGAAAAGAGATGATATCTCTGAGAAGGCAGGAAGAACGGGATCCTGATCATGATAGTGAGATGAGTCTTGGAGGGAAGCTGGAAATGTTTTCCATTATTATAAGAAAAGAGAAGATATGAACACAAGATTTTAGAATCTGTGGTGCAAAAGCAAAAGTTTTGTGTAAAAATTGCCAATTATTTTCTGTAAAGTAGGAGCAAACTCTCT